GCACCAAAACGGAGTGTTCTGAGAGAGCTGGTTTATACAGGGTCACAAACCTCCTCTGGTGATTGATTCATGTTAGATTTTGACCAAAGCACAGCACAGATGTTTCATTTAGACCACAGGGGACTGTTTGAAAATGTAGAAAAGGGAGATAATATGTCCTCTTTAAGAAGCACAGGAACACCCCGGCATATTTCAGCCCTTTCATGTTGAGCTCTGTGAGTGTTTGTTTTTTAGACTCTGAGGGGGAAAAAATGCAGTGGAGGTTGAGGTAGCCCTCAGGATGGAGCTTTTGATTCTGGGGGTGAATGGTTGAAAAAACTCTTGGACAAGATGAAAATCTGCTTCTGAAGTGAATAAATAACACTCTCACTGCTGTGAAAAATATAGTTTGGTGCACTCAAGAGTAGCTGTCGGACTACTCTGCAACATTTCGGCCCACTTGCCAAGGGGTGGTTGATTTAGAAAAGTAACTGCCAAGTATGGATTTAACTGCAGCAATTAATTATCAGTGATTACTTTGCATTAGGAACCACTCATCCCCTTAAAATGTGCCTGCTTGTGCTTTAAATTCTCACCCACAGTAGTTACTAAAAAGTGTACATCAGGGTGTGTGTTTACTCTGAGACACCATGATACATATATATACATGATATATGGACAATAGTCAATTTCTTTTTAGTGTTACATTATGATCTTTGCTTTTGGTTGTTTCATCATAAATGTCAATGGAACATTACAGTAACTTGTTGACAGCTGTACGTTTGCTCTTGGGATACTGCTGATGCACCATGGAAATACAAAAAACACTGAAGTATCAGTTAATATGGAAGAGATATTTAAGTTTTAGGTTATGGCCAAGTGTGTGTAAGTATTTAACATCACTTTGGTGATGAATATCTTCTAAATACTACAAGTTCCATGAGCATCAGTGGCTGATGCAGTCAAAGAAAGGTGGTCAATCAGAGCTGACGTTTATTCAAGATGTTACACCATTGTAGTAACCTCTTCCACACACGGCTTGTACATTGTGTACAAGAATGTTCCACGGCAAATTATTTCCTAGTTGGTCGAACAGAATTTAAAGTCAGACTAACTGACTAGTCATAAGGTAAGAAAACAGTTGAGACAATTGTGCACATTAGCATTGCCAGCTAATGCTAATGCAGTCCTCCTTACACGTTAACATCCACAATCCTAGCCTGAATGCGATGGCCGATATGCCAGTTCAACCTTACACATCTGTCATGAACTGGTAAGTGACAAAGGAAGGGTATCACACATGAAACAAGGTTTAAAGGAAGTTAATTTATTATCAAACAATCATAATTATGTAAATCAGTCAAATCAGTCATGAATGCAATGTATGGATGAGTGTAGTGTTGTAAAGTGCAAACAAAAGCAAACCAGCTGGTGAAGGCCTGGAGAAAGAGAGGAGAGAGACAAGTTAGAGTGGAAGCCACTTATAAGCAGAGTCCTGATGGACTCAGGTGTACCCAGTGGGACTAATGGCCTTCCTGACTCCGCCTACTGTCTAACAAGCCAGGAAGCCAAACAAATGCAGACAGAGGGCAGGGCGTCACACAGCCTACATACATTTTTATCTCAATTTTCTTTCAAAATACTGCCTAACTGCTTTATTACTACGAGATGCTATCGGTCCACTGTGCTTGTTTACAACAGAGCCAGGAGAGCAGGCCCATTAACCGGAGCTTCTGACAGTCTATATGGACACAGCCTCAGCTAGAGGCAGGTTGATACGTAGCAGCTTGAGCTTAACATTTGACTGGCATTGAGGGCCAACATATACAAATATTAAATTCAAACAAGGCAGCAGAGATGATCATCTTCTGAACTGGTTTTTATACCACAGTCCATTTCAGGTCTTTGGTGTGCTCTACTGCAATTATCCCAGCTTACCAAATGTCTGTGCAAAAATGTAGTTGAAGGAACTAAGGCTGCCCCAAATAACTCCTCCAATGTCACAGCTCTTTTTGGAGAACAGAGGAACTTTGTTTGATTTAAGTTTGCATGGTGAAAGCGAGTCTGTCTTTTTCAGCAGGGACAAAGTTTGAGACAAAAGATGGGAGCGCTGCAGCCTGCCTGATTCATTCGCTGGAGTAAAAACTTTAATGAGCTGCTGGTAATTTGGACCCAAACTTTACTAATGAAGCCGCTCTGTGCTTAACAGTACAAGAAAGCGGCTGTAAAGAGCACTCACTATGTGTGAAACATTTAAGCAGGAACTGAATAAATCTTTCCCAAAAAGCCTCTCTTAACACAGAGGCTGAAGAGCAAAGCCTGAATCTGAGACTGCTCACTACCATTTCCTCTTTCTCATTTTTCTAAGACCACAGCAGTGCCTCTTTCTGCTCCCCAGCATGCAACATTTCATCAATGAAAGCTTCTACAGGCGGTGCAGAAGTGGCAGGATGCCTACAGTACTTAGACCACGCTTGCTAATATCTGATGTATGGACTTCCAGATTCCTTTGTCAGCAAGAAATTCCCGTTATATTGTGTAAAAAGGAAATGACTCATTAGTTAAATTACACTGGAGGACACGCAAGTCCAAGTCAATAAGCCTGATTAACTCACATTTGATCGATACACATTTACAAGCTACATGCCAATCCGCTGACAGTGTTTGAGAAACAGCCTGCAACCTCAGGGATTGCTGAGACGTTCATGTTTACCTCCAGCCCACAGCGCCCTTCTCTCTCTGCACTCTGTGCATAATGACAGGGAGACGCCAGAAAAAGGTACGCTTCTGTACGTACCTGAGCATCGAGCATGAATTATTGAACAAAGGGGATTCTGCAGAGTCAACAACATGTGGATGAAATACAAATAATCTCATGTGAACTCACAAAGTCATCAACAAATGCTGGTTTACTTGCCCTTAAAGTATCCTAACAAAGGCAATCATTTAGTTTTAAAGGCGTCCAAAGTGTGTGTGAAAGAGAATACACATCTTCAAAAAGGCAGCCGGTTTTCACTTCTAACTTATTTAACAACACGGCTTGTTCTGCAGACCAATACTTTACAATGTAATGCTGTAAGGATCCCTCAAGCAGCACCTCTGGCAGCCTCTAGCTCAAGTGTTTCAGTGAAGTCATGTTAGGGTTAGGTTTAGGAGACGACACAGTCCAATGGGAGTGGCTTGGCGTCAGGCGATGGTTAAGGGACGACACAGTCCGGTAGTGGCTGGTCGTCAGGTGATGGTTGGGATAGCACAATCCGATGGGAGTGGCTGGAGGTCGGGGACGTCGAGTGGTAGTAGTGCCAGATCACCTCCCTGAAGGTTGGGGGAGCTCAGTCTACTCGAGAGCCTGGCTTCTGCTGCCAGGACAAGGCCTACTGGGCTTCTGGCACGGTAAAGGGAGGGGAGGGGGGTCCAGGCCATCCTCACCAACAATCCCGAGGAACATACAGGATGTATGCATGGGCAGAACAAACACTAATCTTTCAACCAAGAGACAGATGACTCAAATAGCTTGAAAACTACTGGGGAGGACTTTTAGCTGAATCTGAATCAGACTGAAATTAATCCTTACCATCAGCCAGATGATTGATACTTTCTATGTTGTCATTTTTAACACGTTGAATCACTGCTGCAGGATAAGTGTCAGATGAAATTGATTACAACACGCTGCTGAGACAGCACCCTGCTTCTTTCTTTTACTTTGTCTACCCAATAGATTCCCAGTGAGTGATACTATTTGACTAAAGACAACAGGACCTGACGTCAGGTACTGGCCAAAAAAAACCCCAATCAAGAACAACCTGAACTTCTTTAAATTAATAAGACACTACATACCAACTCAAGCAGCACAGGTGTTCATGCATTCAATGCTTTTCTCTCATTTCTTATACTGTATGACAGTTTGGTCACAAGCTTTACCCTCTAGAATCAGAAACCTCTCATCACTATACAACCAGGCCCTGAAAAATGGACAAAAACCTGTCCGGTGGCATCACTTTCACATACTGAAAAAAAACAACACAATTTACTCAGTTTTGAGAGCTTGTTTTTAAATGTATCAACAATCTGGCCCCTGAACCTCTCTCCAGATATGTTCAAAGACAGGACGGAAACAGGGTAACAAGAAGCACTGTGAATGGAAACTGTAGCATACAACATCGTAGATCTACGTTTGGTCAATCAGCCTTCTCCATCAAAGGCTGTAAACCTTGGATCACATTACCACCTGAAATTAAATGAATTAAAGAAAATTCAAAGTTCTCTTGTTCAAAGCAGCAGTAGACCACATCCTGCGATTTTGCCAACAACTGTGTTTATTATGTTTGAAAAAACAGTTGCAGAGGTTTTTTACGGACATGCAACATTGTGACATTATGTCTATGGATCTGCAGAACAGAGCTCCTTTAACATTTTGTATTAAAGGTTCTAAAGTTGTCAGAGTGATATGAGCTGGTGTTTTTTCCCCAATGAGTGTGTCCCTCGACCAGATAAAACTGTCAATAGCTGTTGCTTTATCAGTGCTCTGTGGTGTGTATGCCCTGCTCTCATAGGAGGAGTCAACATTACAGGAGGCACCAGTACAGCATATACTGGTGCAGCACAAGTGAATATCCCATATGACATGTTAATGTGCAGTTTTGGTGAATACTTGACTCATATTTAACGTATTTCCAGTGTATCAAAAAGTCATGAGGCCACTCATTAAAGTTTAACACAGTGACTGGCATACAGTGGATCTATCATGGTTCAACACAAGCTCTCCCCTGGCACAATTTACGGAAAGCTCTCCATTAATCCACCACAAGAGAAACTGGAAGAGCCGTCCCTGAATGCTCGTGTGTAGCTCTAATGTGCAGTAAAGGATTGCAGTAACAGTATATAAACACTGTCAGGAGTTACAGCAAGGAGCCGTGAAATAAATGTCACAAGAGTTTGTTTCAAGATAGAGAAATGTGATTGTTCTGACAAAAAGGATCCCCCTGTTACACGCGCTAACAAGCCCCTTTCGTCTGCTTCAGTCTGTTCACAGTTCTCAAGAGGAGTGTACGCCATCTTCGGCTTCTACGACAAGAAGTCAGTGAACACCATCACGTCCTTCTGCGGGACGCTCCACGTCTCCTTCATCACGCCCAGCTTCCCTCTGGACGGGACTCAGCAGTTCATCATCCAGATGAGACCCGATATCAAGGGGCCCCTCCTCAGCCTCATCGAGTACTACAAGTGGGACAAGTTTGCCTACCTGTACGACAGTGATCGCGGTAAGTTGAGGACACTTTCTTTTTTTTTTTTGTTCGTTTCTCTCCACGTCTGATTCCCTGCCGCTCCTAATGCAGCCATCATTAAATCACAAAAACACAGCAGCTGTTGTTGCCTCTTGATGTGTTTCCACTGGAAATTGGATTGGGGAAAAGCGTGACAGACTTTAATGAAATACATACGAGGCTACAGCTACATATTATTACACACAGGAAATTATTTCTGAACAGATTAAAAAAATAACAGGTTTTCTTCATGCAATCACAGATTGTGCTTAAGCTGCTTCAGCCAGTACAAACCTGTAAAAAATATGCAAAACACGTTGCATGCAGGTAGCACAGCACAGGTAATTCTAGGTAAAGGTCATTTTGGTTCTTCTGTCACATGCGATCAAGTAGTGCACCTGCTGTGTTTGAGACTCTGTTTTATGTAATGCCAAGAGGAATGGAGACAGTCGGAGTACGCTACGGCATACAGTGGAGGCAATGTGCCCTGCAGATGTGGACGTTCTTGCTTCATCTACATAAATGAGTCATTGGTTTGCATAATGAGGTCATGATATGAGCTCACAGTTTTTAGAAGTACTTATTACTACTACAACTTCACAGCTGAACCCACATGTCCATTACAATAGCAGAAGAGTAATCCCAATTGAATGGGTGATTGCAGTTAGTTGCTGAATATGACTGTCTGACTGCGGTTAAGGTCTGAAATTCACTCCAAATCCTGTTAATTGCATGCTTTTTTGTGCCTTTAGGTGCACCGTAGTTAAGACAGTGCAGCGTCTCTCTGTAGTCCCAGTGATTGGGACTAAAGTCCACACTGTGCCTTTGAATGTTTCATTTCATTTTTGCTCTCGGACAGACATGATGATGAATCTACAGTAATATCCACCTTGTTACAACAAACGATTTACTGTTTTATTGCTGTCCTATTTATCAGTTAGTTTTCAGCACTCTCTATATTGGACAAAAACGTTGGTGCCTAGGAATTCAATTTTTTTGCAGCCGCGATATCGCATCAGGTTTTGAGGTTGTTTGATTTTTATTAGTCGTAGATCTAAATGTAAAATTCAGGTATCGTGACAACCTCACAACAAACGTCTTGGTTTTAATCACAAAATATTATTCTTAGGCCCCGTGTCCACTTAGCGTTTTTTCCGGGCAGAAAAGCGCTGGCTGTGCGCTTGGAAGCGTTTGCATGAAGCATTTGTGCGCTGAGAAGAAAAGCGCTGCACTACCGTCCTGTCTCTATGACAACAGTCTGTTGACAGAAGATTTTCAATTTGGGTGAAGTTGCTGGTGCTCAGAAAAAAACGCTATCTGCACCCTTACCCATCTGGGTTAAGCACAGCCCTTAGTGGGATACATGGGAGGTTTCTCTCCTCAGCTATATAATTTTATCTGATATCAAAAATGTTGCTTTTTGTTTTTTTAAATGAGGGTTTTCTAAGCACTCACTTCATGCTCCTCTCAGCTCTGCACTGCTTCACTCTAACACCTTCACTGCTGGGAGCTGCCCGTCAGCCTCTGGGTAGATTGTGCTCTTTAGAAATCCAAACTCGTATACACACAAAAGACACACACATACTTACACACTCTCACACCCGGCTGGATAGTAGATAAAAACTGGTGATTATCTGGACACAAGCTCTAACTCAATGTCAAGCATCACCAACCTCCTGATCCATCAGCCCGGTAGACGAATCAATCCCCCCTGATGAGTCAGAGATGCTTTTTAATAGTGTCTCCAAATGGAAGCGATAACGCTAATTACTTATCAGTCTGCACATTTAAGTTAATAAAAAAGAGTCTGTGTCGTCTACACTTTGTGAAAACTTTGCAGTCTGAAGTTGTGTATGTAAGTAAGTGTTTCCAGGTCGCATGAACCTGTAATTGGATCAGATCACAGAAGGTTTTTTTGATGCCAGACAGTCAAAGAAGAAAAGTCCTCTTCCCTAAAAACTTTCACATCCAGGCGTACTTCATATTCAAATCTATTTCATCTCACTTCTTTGATCCCTTTCATCTGGGACTTCTTTTGTAGTCCACACTGATTTAAGTCTTGAAATTGTTTTTTTTTCATAGCAGACATTTTTTCCTCGCAGCGTGAATAGTTCTTTCTCAACACACTTTTTTATTTCCTCCTGTTTTTGCACACACATCTAGGGTCCGGACATTACAAGTGTGGTTCTTTAAAATATCAGAAAGTTGAGTGCAAAACAAACATGACTTCAGTTTGTGTGTAATCTCTCTTTGCTGTGTCATTCCAAAGCGTCGTCTGCTAATCGTGATTCTGGGTTTTGTACTGTTGGGGGGGGAAGCAGCCTCTTCTTGCGCAGAGTTTCCAAACAGCAAAAAAATCCATTCAACCAATACTTCCTATTTTAATACTGTTTCTTCAGTTACCGTAAAACTTCTATTAATAGCCCAGGCTTTTATTTCCTTCGGTCTATGAAATGACCCTGCCTATATTTGGGACAGGCGTCAATACAAGTATTTAATTATTATTAAACAAAAACTTTGGGAAAGTCTATAAACGTGGAACGATCACACCAGAGCAAATAATTATGCACAACATTAGTAAAAAAAAAACACTCATTTGATCCTGATTTTTAAGACGCAGATTGGCTGCACAGCCGGTACGCACACCAGCATCACTCTGTTTTTCTTGAGCAGAATTTTAGTTTTTCTGCTTTTTCTGCTTATTTTGAATCCGCTAACTAATCAGCACTAAACATAGGGGCCTCTAATTGAGATCTGCCTTTTATTTCAAAACATGCAGCTACACCGTGCTACTGAAAAGGAAGCACTTTTTTTGGACTTTATCTATTGTGAACATACAAAAGTAGGTACATAGATTAAATATACGAACCCCAAAAAGGGCAGAATATGGGCTCTTTAATTGGGATGGGCTTTAATTTGAAGTTTTACAGTAAATGCAATGATTAATACATCAATGGTTGCAGCTACAGCTGAATAACACTGTTAAGTGATGCTTAGCTCTCATGTTACATTTTTTAATCTCCTTCATTCCCTATATAGAACAAACATATTTTATTGTTTTTATATGTAGTATGCTGTGAGCACTTTGACATTGTTACATTCAATTGGTGAATGAAATGCTTAAAAAATGTTAAATAATGCACTGACAGCCTTCAGGAAGTCTGAAGAGAATCTACTCAGGGAAGCCTGCTTTCTATTGAGTGTTAAAGCTGAACAGTGCCGGTGGCTTAAGAGGGATTTGTTGCATCTCTGCTCCGTGTTACCTTTAACTCTCAATCATTTCCCATCACTTAAGCTTCCCCGGCTGCACATTTCCACCTATCAAACACATGCTCTGCCTTCACTACACTTCTGTTAACAGTAACTGCTTTTATTGTGGACTAGTAGACGTTACGATTACATCACATTTAGCTGGATCTTTGAACCACTGACCCGACAGCGAGTACGGGTTAGTAAACTCATGTGGGTGAAACTCTCCGAATTGCTAAAGTTGGTCACGGTAAGAACAGCTTTTAAAGGCTTTATATGTGATTTTTTGATCCAGCAGATGTCGCCTTTGAGCACCAGCATGAAACCAAAACAACTCGCGGTGCATTGTTGTGTTAGCATGCTAATGCTAGCGATCTTTATTATGCTGGTATCTTCACACTGCATGTAAATTTACCTGAAATGAGCGTGATCTAGAAACACAGTTAAGCAGTGAGTACAGTATGTTATTCTTCTTTTCTCTAGTCCCTCAATTAAACTACTTTTATTCGCGAGGGGAGGAGTCAGCCGGCTGTCCCGCCGATGTAAACAAACTGAAAATATGACTCGGAAAACTCGAAACATCACAGACAGTGGGACTCGGGTGTTACACCCATTGTAGACAGTCATGACTCACAAGTTATTTTCAGAGGATAACTTGATTTCTACATTGAGTGTGAAAAATCACATATAAGCCTTTAATGTCTTCTGCTGCCAAACAAAATAATTTACGATGGCGTCCAGCGGTCCAGAACATTCTGATGTGAAATGACAGTAAGCTCTAATTAACTTTCTGCAGCCGGGAAATTAAGCTAAAGAGAAAAAGGCCAAAAACTGCAGTTCCTCAAGTGGCCACTAGATGCTGGCTCCAAAAGCGAGTCAAACCCCATTCAGCCCCATGTTAGAAAATCTATTTTTACGACAGAATAAAACAAAATAAAAGAAAAGCTTTTGGTCAATTACTACATTCATGACAACTGTTTACTCACACTTTTACATTTCTAAGGACAAAAGTATGCATAATTAGGGCGTGGTTTGCTTGCTAGCTGTGTGCTCGTTATCACAGCAGCAATTTCAGTCTCTTAAAAAATTAACCTCTTGGTTGTGTTTGTGTGGTCGGTGCCTTTTAGGACTTCTTTGGGGTAATTATCAATGTCTCTGCTCACTCTGCAAAGTGTCTTAGCTTTGAGTGTTGCTCATACATTTCATTATCTGTGGCTTCCCAAGCATTTGGAGGATTTAGACTTTTTCCCTCTGATGTGATGAGGGTGGGTGGGGCATTATGATGAGAGGACTAGTTCTTATACATTACCAGGTATAAGCCTTGACGTTATTTTTCCACTCCACATCCATAGATGCTTGACCCTTCCTCCCCTCTCGTCTCATTTCCACATCCTCTTGCTCTCCTCCCAGAATCCCCCAGCTTATCTTCCCAGTCAGCCTCGCTCTGACTGACGGCAGACAGGAAACGCCGCTCCTCGCCCAAAACCAGAGGGCGCTTTTCAACCTGCTGTTCTAAATTGTCCTCCTGCTAAACGCTAACTCTAACCCGCTGTCTCCTACTGTACGTCCCCGGCGCCACTGAAGGGCCTGTTGTGCATATTTCATCATTGCATGGCTGTCTAATTAGGTCAGTGTGATCCACTCATTCCCATGGCAACCAAAGTGTGGAGGGAGACAGAGAGACAGAGAGAGAGAGAGAGAGAGAGAGAGAGAGAGAGATTGTGAGTGACTGAGCGGGTTGGTAGATG